GATTTTTCTTGGAACTACTGGGAAGAAAAACTTGCTATATTCAGTGAGTGTCTCTGAGAGGGCTATCAGAAGCTGTGTCTCCACAAGGAGAAACTCCGATAAAAGATGAAACCTACAGACAAGCGAGCTGAGGATGGAAAAGCAGCACCTGGTCCTGATGACACGGTTTGAACCCTTATATTCCATTGTGTTTGAAGCTGCTTCTGCCCTTGAACTATGTAGTTACATGTGACAATATATATATATATTCTGTACCTTTCTATGAATGTCACTATGGATAGTTTACTTCACTAAGTATAGTTATTCTCATCTGTAAAATGGGGCTATGATGCTTCCTTCATAGGGTTCTTAAGGATTAAATCATATAATATGTATAAAGTATGATTAGGGTCAGGCACAGACTTAGGGCAGCTATAGAGTTATCATTGATAACTTTAGATGCTGCATCCGAATATCTGAAACAGGACCAAAATTCTATGTTTAAAGCTACAAGAATGTTATTAAAGAGAAACATACATAAAGAAATCCAAAGCCCTTCTTTAGTTTGGTAAAAACATCACCCATGTCAGCCTTGAAGAGGCTATAGGACAAAGGCAATGAGCCAAGTGTACAGTAATAAATTTACTCACACAAAAAGGACCAAGATTTTTTTCTTTTTAATTCTCTTTGTAGCATTATTCTAAGCTCAGATCCTAAATCTACGTCTAAAGAATCTGCAGCAAATTCAATCATTTTCTTCTGAAAGAATAAGCACTTGATTAAAAGCTCAAGAATTTCTTAGAGGTTAAGATTTTGCTATACTAATTTCAGGTCAGGGCCCATGTTCATCACTAGTAAAAACAGGCCGAGAAAGAGGAATGAGATAAACAGAGAAAAGTGAAAATGTAAATGCAAGGTACTTCGAGAGAATATATACATTTTCGGTGCATAGAGAGAGTAAATTCTCAAGGACATTTTTCTCACAAGTCTTGAAAACTCTTCGCTATTGAATTTTCAGACATTGTAATAAGAACAATTAAAATATAACAAAGTGTTTCCTAGGCAAAATGAGATAGGAAAAAGAATACATTTTTAAAGAAGATTTTAAAAAAATCCAGTCATGGCCTATTTCTTTAAGGATAAACCTGTTTATTTAAAAAATTATATTTCTGTTGTTTATAGATCTGACATCGGTATTTCTGGTATACTTACCCTTAGGAATTATTCTGACAGTATATTTAAGTTTTCCAGATGTTTTACCTGTCACTCTACCAAAGCAACAAAACCAGCACTTTTTGATCTAATAAGACCTCCCAGTCAAATGTATAGGGAAAAACACATAAACACACGCATACATGCAAATATATGAAGAGCAACATTTAAGCCTCTCGATGTTAGTTGTGATACTTTAACATGACCAATATAATAATTAAATTTAGTGAGTTAATGAAAAATCCATTTCTTTGGCCCCAATCACCACATGAATAGTCATTTGTTTCACGACCATTTTCATTATTATCTGAATACCACTTTATTTAAACTGTCTACAGTGTCAGGAAATGAACACTGTGTCTCTAGGTAGCTCTCTATCTTATGTCAAGGCAAGAAAAATACAGGAAATTAGCTATATCTGTATTTTGATGTCTGTTTTACTATTATAATTTTGAATAGGCCAATTTGTTTTCTCTTTTAGTAATATAGTGTAGTTGTACAAATAATTTATGTTGGTTAAATCAGTTGCTATCTCACTAAGCTCGATATGTCTCAATATTTTCAGCATAATTCAGCTCCTTTCAGTATCTGTTTCTGTTATGATTCCATATCATCTATTTTTCTACTTTCCCCCAAATATGGTGATTTTACAGCTTTTGAAATAATATTTTCTATTGGTTATTTGTTTTCCTGGTATTCCTTTTTAATGACCAGTAAGGATGAACTGGAGTTATAGAATCTTCGACAGATTCCTTGAGGATTAGATAATTTTACGAATTCCCACAGCATTTTATATGTACCCATTCTCTACCAGACTGAAGCACTGTGAAGTCAGGAGTCAAACTGAGGATCCCTGAGGTCTTGTATATAGGCATTAAGTATTTACTGAGAAAGTGAATAAGTGGAAAAAAAGAAAGGAAAGAAGGAAGGAAAAAAGGAAAGAAATAGATTTTTAAAAAAACCTCCTTTGAAGTTAATAAAAGATTAAGAAGTATAAATGGCAGTGACTGCCACTTACTCATTTTATTTCCTATCTGTTATTGGTCAGTTTTACACATAATCGGGTGTGTTTATATACAGACTTTGGCATTGATGAAACATTGGTTTCACCTGTCTTCAGAATAGATTAATCGCTATAAGAAAAATGACCCAAATGAGGGGCCATGTCATGACATTTCCGTTGATGTCACACATTTAAAAGCAATCTAAATTTAAAAAATTAAAAAATCATCACCATTCTTTCATTTAAATAAAATGATTCCTTGATTTGGTGTATTGTAGAATATTTACCTATTCTCAGTCATACAGAATTTATCAGGTGAAAATAAGTTAGCTTATGTTGTATGCAAGTCAACACCTACAGCTCACAGAGAGGATATTCATTTCCTTTATACATTTGTGAAGATGACAGAGTACACAGCTCAATATTACAACTTTTCTTAAATAAGAAGCATGATGTAGCCGTGCAATTTGATAAGAGAATGTGACTTCTCCTTCTGAAACAAACCTCACCAGTGCAGGAAGTGACCAACGGCATGTAGATGGGAGGGATCGAACAGAGGAAGCAAAATCAGAGCATTAAATAAAAGACTTTGGCACATCAACCCTGGTTCCATTTATCTAGACACTGTTTTTCCAGGGAATAATAAAAAATAATAAAGAACTGGGTAAAATATTTTTGCCTTTTCCCAAGTCTAAAAGAAATCGTATATTATGTGGGATAGTATTCAGAAACTAAAACAAAGCCACCGTCTGCATTTGGTTCCCAAAGATTCAGGTTGCAGTATTAATTAAAAGTACCTGGATACCTCGGCTGATACCAAGATTCCAGTTATAACCTAGTAAAAAACAGTCACCAACATGCACAGGTGGACATAAGAGTTTCCTTGGTGCAGACATAGCAAGGTGATGTCCGCCTAGGGATTTTATTTCTGTTCACACTCTAGACAGATCCCCAAAGGTGATGAGTCAGTGATTGACTGAGTTTGCCTACAAAGAGAACCCCAAGCAGACTTCAGCGGAGTAATTTTCTCCAGTAGGCTTTTGAATCAACCATGTTAGTATGATTTCCCTAAAGAAAGCCCAGTCAAAGGTCGCGGGAGTTGTTTGTGTTTCACCCTCTCTAAATGACTTGCAAATTTATTCAAACGCAATATGAGGAGATGCTTTATTTGCTGAAATAAGTGTCTGCAGTGTCCTGCACAAAAGGGTGAGGTACATCAAGCAGAAACATGGACAGAAATACACTGGTTCAGAAACTCATAAATCCTTATTTGAATCTGCCAACCTGAAAGCCACGTAGAGCCCGAATAAACTATTTTTCCTAAATGCTACATCTGATTAAGCCATACCATTAAATGACAGCTGAACTTTAACATTAATATGATATTATTTAAATAACCACATGATTTTTTTTTACACTAAAAATGATGAATGATTTCTGGACAGCTCAATTGACATAAAGCAGGATGACTCTTTAATGAGATTTGACAAAATGGAGACACATGCAGAATATTCGTTACAGCTCACATCGCAGGGCTCTCTCAGGGAAGTCATGGAGAGCTGTTTCCTTTTTTTCTTTTTTATTGTCTATAGGCACTGAAGCATTCCTTTCATTCGCCACTTCTCTGTGGATTTTGAGTTTTTCTAGGTCATTTACATACTACTCTTAATCAGAGGATTTGGTGGTTTATGGTTCTGAATTGGGACTGTGTTTGCAGGAAGGGAGGGGCATGTAGCCTTAGGTCAGCGCAGGCTGGAAGTGTCCCAGGAACTTTATTTAGACTTGCTACTGATCTGCCTGATAGAGGAATCACATCCACCTTTGGAGACTCAACAGCTATACCTCTGATTGGTTCTCATGCAATCCATCTCTGACGCAGCAAACATACTTTTAGCAAATTACCACCCCATGAATACATGATCAGAGAAGACTTTACTTACTTTCAAATGATTGTTTCTATAGTATCAATGAGAAAAAAAGATCCTCTTTTTTCAAATTCTAATTAAACTATTATAGCAGCAATTCCCAACTTTCTCCATTCACATTTCCATCCACAGTTCAAAACTGAAGGTTATGCTAGATGATACTCTTAGTTGGTAAATTCTGAATGCAAAATAATTCCATGCTGAATCTACCTAGGTAAAAAATGGCTCCAATTTTCATACCAGCCAAAAAATTTTCACTCCCCTCCGAAAAATGCAAAATATAGAATATTACCTGTATTCATTCATTTATTTTCAAACTCTCCCTAATATTCTCCATCAATCAAAGGTTAGTTACACGTATAAAACATTAACATGTGTTTGCTCGCACACGTGAATTCAGATTATTCAGATACTCTTTAAATTTCCAAAACCATCTTTAAGTATACATAAAATCAAAATGTTTCCCCAAACAGTGTCTCTTCAAAAAGGAATGAAAACAAGGCAACATAGAGCAGAGCTCAGACCAAGTGTGCTCTTGATACCACAGGCCCGCATTCCCGCTATAAGAAGGAAGTTATCAAAGTAGAAAATAAAGTCACTCGGCTCACGGCGCCTTCCTCAGGCAATGAAAAAAATACTTCACGTCTAACCCTAATTTTTTTCTGTAGCTTGAGGTAACCCCTTTAGCTCACACCTTCTCCGTAATCTAAGGTACTCAGTATGTGCCCTTGTCCAAACAAGAGTTAATATCGGTGCTGTCATTTCAAAAAGGTCTCGACACGGTACTAAGAGCAGAAACTTGCATGCATGGAAAATGCCCAATTGCAACAAGATGAAAAACACAGTTAAAAAAACAAAGAGAGAGGAAGATGCGTCCCTACCTTGCTCTTACCTTCGCAACATCCCTGTCAGAACCCTGGAGCTTTTCCCCAAGTTAGCATCTGTTTCCCGAAGCTAGGAGGAGAAGAGCGGCGTTGAAACAAAACTTCAAGCAACTTGATTATTTTTCAAGTGCACTGGCAAATAATAATTTCCTTTTATGATAGACAATCCAATTCATAAAAAATTGCTATGTACGCTAAAATACATTTTTTAACACCTATACAATCTCTGAAAATTCTTAGATTTAGAAAATCACATGTAACAAAGAATTTCAGAAGTTTTAAATGGGATACTTGAACTGGATATAAAAGCAAATATCTCACAAGCTGATAAAGTTTAATGTATATTGGTCATTATTTTGTTTCCAATTTATGAATGAGCAAAGTCCTAGTAATATAAATGGAAGCAAAATGAATTTAGGGAGAATGAGGTCAATGTTCTTAGCTTTCACTCTAAAAGACCTGACATACTCCAAAATCTCCCTCGATGACCTTTTTCTCAGCTATAGACCTAAATAATATATCTATGCAGGGACATTTCAGGATGGGGGCATAAAATCTCAGGATAGTCTTACTCCATCCCACACTCTTTTTCCCCTTTCCTCGGGCCCTACATCCTTCTGTCACCTTAGCCATTTTTAAATATACTTACATCTATGTAATTGTTACTGTGTACGCATGTGCTAAAGACCCTTGATTTTATGTCTTATCATTTACTGAATTTGTGAAAAAACTTCTACTTACTCTTTCACGTGCTCTCTGTATTTTTTCTCTGTCATGACTGAGGTTTTCCAACATCTCCTGGCCAATTTGCTCTATGGAAAAGAAACTTGAGTAAGAAAAGATGACTTTGGGGGCAAGTGAGAATAACCTTCAGAAGTATTAAAATGACAACGGGTTCAGAATTAATATTAAGTTAAGTGTATATTATACATCAGACACACATTTCAAGTCATGTACTTGAAAAATACTGCCATTTGCAACAACATGGATGGACCTTGAGATAATCATGCTAAGTGAAATAAGCCAGACAGAAAAAGTTGAAAACTACATGATATCACTTATATGTGGGATACAAACCTAAAACAGCAAACAAACGGGGCAAATGAACAGAGGGTAGCGGGCAAGGGGGTAGGGGAAAGCGGGGAAGTAGATGTGGTAAAAAAAAAAAAAATAGGAAAAAAAATTAGCCACTACAGGCTAAAAACAAAAAAAAAGCATTTGATAACTTTACCTATTTAACTTAGGTATGATGAGATGTGACTTAAAATTCAACCTATAGCATATGACTAACACGGCAATGATAATTTAGAGGTTCTATGACTTGTCCAAGGCCACCTCAGCTTATTATTTGTCAAGATGGAGAGTCCAGGTCCAATGGTTTCTTTATGATCATCATGAAATTCAGCCTTTGGTTTTTACGGGTTATAAATAATATTAATGATTCTACTCTACCTTTTCTACTTCATTATTGTACTATTTTGCATATGTAAGTGAAACTCCATTTGGAATAATGTTAATTTTAATGTATTTGTCCTACATAAATAGTCCTCATACTGTCAATTACTGCAGCTTATTGGTAGTGGAACCAGCTCTAGGCTTCTGCTCTCTTAAAGCAAGGGCTTGTTTAGTGTGTTCTCAGCTACCGTGCATATTTGATACAGAGGAGGTAAACTCCCTAACCAGTAGTTGAGGAGAGCTCAAGCTGGAGAGAGAACTTCCAAACTGTTATGCTGATACAGGCAGGTGGGAACATTCATTATAAAGCCACACTGCTGAGTTCCAGTGAGGTTTTCCCCTGCTGCCTGGTTGGCATTGGCTGGCTCTCCTCTCACTGCAGAATCTTTTATAAGACTGTAGAATCTTTTACAATATCTGACACAAAAATCAGCTGCCTTGAATAAACTTTGTTTTCAGACTCATTGTCCATCGCCTGAGAGGTGCCTTATTCTATAATAGAATGACAATCTGACTTTCTCCTAATCTTGGCAACTTATCTACCTTATTCCACACTTCTTTTTCTCTTATCTCTTCAACTATAACCTATTACAACAATCATCTCTGGCTTATGAACTTATAGAAACATTAAAAGAGCATCCATTTTAATAACAGTAAATAATTAAATTAAGTCATTAAATGATCACCAATGGTAGTAACTTGATTCACGTATGTATACTGACCAACATTTTAGAAGGACATCCTAAAAACTGTAGAGCAGTGATTAGGCCATATTGAGAGTGTAGGCTGTGAACTCACACTGCTTGAGCCTAAACTCCAGCGCTGACACTAGCTGTGTGGCCTTGCACAAGTTACCTAACTTTCTTGTGCCTCATCTTCTTCACCTCTAAAATGGAGATAATAATGATAATTCTATATCATGGAGTTGTCAGAAGGATTAAGTAAGATAATTCAGTTAAAATATTTAGCACAGTGACTGGCCTATAACGATAAGCATTTATTGAATGACGGTGATTGATATAAAAAAAAAAGAACTATTATGACCTTGACTTCTTCCTATCCTAGATCTGCCATAACCCACTTGAACTACAATTTTATTCACAAAATAAAATATCTGTCCTACCTTTCTCACAAAATTGTTGTTATAGCCAAATGAGATAACCTAAGTAAAAATGTTTTGAAAGCTTTAGGGCACCATACAAATACATGTAATTGTATAGTACATGAGAATCAATGCACTCAACAAATAATCATTGAGTCCCTAGCTCTGTGCCAGGTATAGATGTTGGGGACATGGCCAGTACATAAGATCAAACCCTTGCACTCAAGGAACTTCCATGCCAGTAGTGAAGATTTAGCTGTTAAAGGGCTGTTACATTAGAGTTGTATTTCTCAGCATACCAGAAAAGAAATGGTACTATATATTCCTTTCATAATCGAAAATACCAATAATAGAAAAGGCTTAAATACAATAACATAAAAACATTTTTGACATCTATAAACTCTGAAAATTCTTTCTAGTATAATAACTTCCCAGTATACTACTTCCTCTCAGATAGACGTTAGCTTTTTATTATTACCTTCATACAATTTATCCTTAAGGTAAAATTGAATAAGAGGTATGGTTCCCAGTGGAGGCATCATAAAGGTTGGAAGATGATACCAATGGTTGAGAGGGAAGACACAACTAGGGTTGAATTTTTTCTTTTATTTCATAACAGCTACGATATTCAATTCTGTCATTCTGTTAGGTACTACCGTTATGTTGAATTCCTTTAATCAATATAATATAGCAATTTAATTCATTTTTTACTTTAAAATCTCTAATATTAATGAACACCATCAATATGGGGTTATTTCAGCAAAATGCTATTTATACAATATTTTCTCCTACCAAGATTGATGGTATTATAATATGTAACCTCAAATGAATAGGAAATAAGAGATTATTACTCCTAGTTTATTATTACCACCATTATGTCTATCACTAGTAATGTTCCCAGTAAGTATTTGTGAAAGGAACAAAACAACGAGAAAATCAAATGAAGTGAAAAATGGAGTACATGAAAGGTTTGTGATCTATTCTCGCTTTCAAAGCTTATCAAGTACGGCATTGGAGAAGTCCACATTGAAATGCAGGGAACAGAGCCACAAATCTGTCAGGTTCACCAGTATAAAAACTCCATTCTGAATGGATCTATAGTCTGATACTGAAGGAATCAATGGAACAAGAGGTAAAGAGCTCAGGCCTTTTCAGGAGTCATAAATTTCTCCCTCAATCGTTTTGCTTCTTAAGATATAACTCAGCATCCAAAGTACCAACCCCATATGGCAAGAGAAATTGGCAAGAGCATACATGTCCTGGTCTTAACACATAAATAACATATATTTGTTGGACTCAGAATTTTTTAAAAAAATTTCTTACTTGCTACCTTTAATTTTAATACCCTAACAAAGAAAATTCCAGGCCAAACACATAATACTCACTCTTATAAAATGAAAAAAATTCACGCAAAGAAAGTTATGTGTATATTTTTTCCATTATGTGTTACCCTACTCCAATCAAACCAAAATCAAACAACACAACAAAATAGAGGAGATTATTTTTAAAATAGATTGTCCTTGGTCAGAATAGTATTAGATATTTAGGGATTATTTCATTACAAAATTAGTAACATTGTTAGGTTTACTTTTCTTGAATAACTTGACTTAGGATGTCAGTACTCATCAAAAGAACCAATAAAGAACAGAAGCTCGTAGGTTTACACAAATGTAGATGTAATATGCTAGTCTGGAGTTTTCAGTTCTTTAAACTTTCAGAGTGCCTTTAGAATGGGAATAGCTATACTCCCTCTATTGAAATAATATGAGAAATCATAAATTTTATAAATTCTTGTTGACTGTATGAGGATCTTCTTGAGAGTAAGAAACATGGGAAACATAAAAATTCGAAATGGATGCTGTATGCTGTAATTCTACATGTCAGTATGAGCATGATGAATGAATTCCTAGAAAGAAAAGTTCCTTCCTGTACTTTCCACAGGGCGCCCGGGAATCATCCAGAGAGTATGGCACTCACATTTACAATGTGAGTTTTTGTTTTCACAATTACCCAGAATGAATCATATCCTTGATCCATGGCCCTTTTTATTGGGTCTCAAACTGCAAAATTGATTTTGGCTAACATTTCCTCTCCTTTTCAATATATGTGGGGGGTAGGTAATAAAATAGGCAGTCAACACTTTCCTACCCCACAAAGAAATGGAGAAAGAAGCAGGGAACTACAAATCTACCAAGATACTTCCTGAAGGACTGGCCTTCCAATCATAAAAGATAAGACTTAGTTTGAGGATCTTGTACTGCTGAAAGCATCACTGCTCTCTATTCATAAAATAATAATGCTACCTGGTGCCATCATAAGACTGATCTGAATGAACTTTTTAAAAAAATTATTGGACTTGTATTTTGGAGATAAGCAGATTAAAATATTCTCTATAAGAAGGCAGAATTGACCAATGCTTATATCACGTTATAATATAAACACAGCTGAAAGAGGAAAAGCCTCAAATATAATTCACCAGAAAATGTTCCCTTTAATAAATTCAAAATATTAAAAAAGGATTTTAGCCATTATGCTATATGCAGTGCACTGGCCAGAAATTAATGGTCACTCCTCAGTGCATTTATATTTAACTTTCTTTTTACAAACTTTATCAAGGATGTGATTTCCAATGGATTATTTTTAAAAGTGAAAACAGCCCAATGAGTCTTCTTTAAGGAATAAAAGAAGGTAAGGTTATTTTCTGGCACTCGAAAAAACTTCATTAGCAATTTTAGTAATAGGCAAAAGGTATTTGAAATTATCCAGCTGTTGACTGCATACAGGGACTTCTGTGAAATGCAGGAGTGCAAAGAAATACTGTAAAAAAGCTATTTTTGACACGTCTTTTTATATGTATATTGCAGAATACCAATCAGACAAGTGAAAAACACGAAGTGTTATTTCCTAACAATTTAGAGTACTAAATTTTGGACATGGCTTGAAAACTTTTGGCCACTGAATCTAGTGAAAGCAAAGGAAGTCATGTACAGCTTTCCCAGGAGAGAGTTGTTCATGGAGTGGGTGGGTCAGTCATTCTTTGGTATTCGGCACACCTCTTAGATATTGACCCTGGTATCATGCCCTGAGTGGGTGTGTTATCCTCAATATAGATGTTTTTCATACACAAAGTCTTTTAAATTCCTGATACCTGGAAAGGTGAGAGAATGAAAAAGGCAGATCTTTCACCATCTTTCGTTACCTGACCATTTAAAACACATGAGGAACTTCTGCCTTCAGTTAAGATGTAGAAAGATG